GTGTGCTCCTCTTGGCAAACAAAAAGCAGGCACCATATCATGCCCATTCTGCACACACAAAAATTGGCTTATGAAGGCTGACGTGGTGCTGTGTATCACCAGCCAGTTAGTGTCTGGACCAAGAAACAAAAGCAACTGTGATTGACCCCAAAGGGCACAGAATACTATTTTCCGGGGCTCTTCATCTGAAGAGGGGACCGTGTGAGTCCTGGGGCCAGGACTTATCAGAGCCTTTATGTCTGAAGATAAGTTGAGGATCTTGGATGGGGAGACGGTGTAGTTATTTCCCAGCTTATGGGTCTCCTGAATTCTTTCCGAAGTGTTTTTGCAGGAATCAGTACTCTGCAGAACAAACCTTTAGAGAATCTAACTCACTGATAGTTGAGTTTCAGGCCAGAGAAGGAGAGGGAACTGGGGTCCAAATGTTCTCTGGTGGGAGGCGGAGGTCTGTAAGTTGAAAAGGAGGTGGGACCAGGGATGCGGCTCATTTGGTAAGGAGCTTGCCTCATGGTGGAGCCTTAGCTTCAATCCCCAGCACCCCAGAAAACTAGGCATGGCGGAACACACTTGCAAACTCAGCCCATGGGAGGTGAAGGCAGGAGGATCAGAAGTTCAAGGTCATCCTTGGCTACATTGCAAGTTCAAGCCAGCCTGGACTACGTGGGAGCGTCTTTTAAAACGAGTCAGAACTAGGCCTAAGACTGTTCCCATTAGAGTCCACTGACTGTACCCATCACTCAAAATGGGATCGGGTTTCCTGGCGGCTCATCTAGATGGCAGAGAGGCAGAGGAGATGGGGCGTGGCAGGAGCCCTGAGGTAAGAGCGAGCCAGGGTCCTTGCGTGGAGTGTTGGGGCTGGAGTCCAGCTGGGGCCTCTTCTCATCCCCACAGGGTTCCAGCGCTCCCTGTGAAGAACTTGAACGGCACTGGCCCTGTCCACCCAGCACTGGCAGGTAAGACCCAACCCACCGTCCTCATGAGCCCCGCCCCTTTAGTGAACTGGTGGGTGGGCCCGAGAGTGGCCCTTCCCATTGGGTTTGCTTGGCTTCAATTTGAGGTGGTTTTCTGAGGTGGGCCCTCTGTGGCCTTCACCTGCCCCATCAGCGCTGCAGCAATGAGAGGAGGGCGTGGCTTGTCATGACCCCGCCTCTCATCACTACACCCCGCCCCCAGGGATGACCGGGATCCTGTTATGTGCAGCCGGGCTGCCGGTGTGCCTGACACGGGCCCCCAAACCCATCCTGCACCCGCCACCTGTAAACAAGAGCGACGTGAAGCCCGTACCTGGAGTGCCCGGCGTGTGCCGCAAGACCAAGAAAAAACACCTCAAGAAAAGTAGGTCCTGTGTGAGCCCAAACACAACCGCGGTGCTCTTAGGATCCAATATACGCCTGCCCCTGCTGGCTCTCAGCTCGCCCTCCAGCCCCTCCTTCCTGCCTCTCCCCAACCCTTACTTCTCCTGAGACACACCCCACTCTCTCTGCAGGTAAGAATCCGGAGGATGTGGTTCGGAGGTACATGCAGAAGGTGAAAAACCCACCTGATGAGGTGAGCCAGCCAGGTGGGGCCTCAGCCTCCAGGACCAGTTCCTGCCAATCAACTTGGATGGGCCAAGTTTTCCATTGGGGGGGTGCTTTGGGTAGCAAAGCCCTTAACCCCTGCTACACCGGGGGAGGGAATCAACTCCAAGGTTTTCCATCTCTCCATCTTCAGTGTCCCCTTGTGGTCCTCCCCATCCTTAGTGTCCCTCTGTGAACTTCCTCATGACCCTCAGTGTCCCTCCTTATAGCCCTCCCCACAGCCTTCCCCATGGCCTCATCCTCTGTGTGTCTCCTCATGGCCCTCCCCCATCTCCCTGACCCTCCAGGACTGTACCATCTGCATGGAGCGGCTGGTCACAGCGTCTGGCTATGAGGGCGTGCTCCGGAACAAGAGCGTGAGGCCCGAGCTTGTGGGCCGCCTGGGCCAATGCGGCCATATGTACCACCTGCTCTGCCTGGTGGCCATGTACTCCAATGGCAACAAGGTGGGCCACAAGGTGGGCTACTGCTCAGTGGGTGGGCGCCCTGCATCGAGGTGGGCAGTGGGTGGGGGCCGAGTGGGATCCCGGGGCCTCACCCCAGCACCCCCTTCTCAGGATGGTAGCCTGCAATGCCCCACATGCAAAGCCATCTACGGGGAGAAGACCGGGACACAGCCACCAGGGAAGATGGAGTTTCATGTCATCCCTCACTCGCTGCCTGGCTTTGCAGACACCCAGACCATCCGAATTGTCTATGATATCCCCACGGGAATTCAGGCGAGCCCCGCCCCACCCCACTTCACCCCACCCCTGCCCCAAGGCCACTGCCCCACCTCTCTGCCCCCTCTACAGCCTCCACCTGTCTGTGATCTGAACCCTCCTGCCTTCCCCACAGGGCCCTGAACATCCCAACCCAGGCAAGAAGTTCACCGCCAGAGGCTTCCCTCGCCACTGCTACCTACCCAACAATGAAAAGGGCCGGAAGGTAGGTGCCCACCTGGTCTCATCAGTAAATGAGGGCAGGGTCCCCAGCCACCATCTTTTAGGCCCGCCTCCCCCACCTGTCCACAGTCCCTGCTGGGTTCTTTCCCCAGACCACAGGCTAAACAGAAGGCCCAGAACCTACCTCATCTCATTCACCCACTAAACAAAGCTTCAGAGAGGGCAAGTAAGTTATGCACATTCACACAGCGACGAAGCAGCAGGGCCAGCATTTGAACCCAAGAAGCCTTTCATCTTCATGCTTAGGTTGTTTGATTTTACTTAACTGCTTAACCAAAGAAATTTAACCTTCAAATTTTTCCTGTGGAATCTCTGGATTTTTAACGATGGAAACAAATTTACAAAGTGACTATTCGGTACAAAGAGTGGGGCCTAAGCCCTGTCTGTACTGATGACAAGCCCGGAAGGAAACAGAATTGTAAGCAGTGGAGCAGGCCAAGGCTCAGGCTGCCTGTGTTGTTCACCCCGCCGGCTGCAGGTGCTGCGGTTGCTCATCACGGCTTGGGAGCGCAGACTCATCTTCACCATCGGAACATCCAGTACCACGGGCGAGTCCGACACGGTGGTGTGGAATGAGATCCACCACAAGACGGAGTTTGGTTCCAACCTCACCGGCCATGGCTACCCCGATGCCAGCTACCTAGACAACGTGCTAGCTGAGCTCACCGCCCAGGGTGTATCTGAGGCCTGAGTTGCCTGCCTTCCCTCTTGCTTTGCCCCTAGCCCGGCACATGCTTCCCTCCACTGGGCTGGAGGAGCCGGAAGTGCTGAGAGGATCTGGAGGGTGGCTGTGGGGGGTGATGCCAGGACATCAAGCCAGCTGGCTTCAACCTGTGGCTTCCGGCAAGGGCAGCAGTGATAGGCAAGGGCCGCCTCCCTATGGAAAAGGTGGGAGTTTTGCCCCTCACACCACACACACACATGTGTCCTGTTGCACGCACGCACTCACGCACGTACACCCACGTGCCTCTGACTTCTCCCCACTTGGGGGGGGAAGAGAGACAGAAAGGCCCTCATGCCACATCGTGTGGATTCCACCTGTGTCTACATTACATCCGTATAGGCTCGTTCCCTTCCCAGGACTTGGGTCAGGCACGGGAGAGTTGGGAGTCTGTAAGGCTTCTAGGGGCCAGTATGCCCCTGAGCCACGCCCCTTAACCCATGTCAGATCCCCCACCTGCCCCTGAGCACTGCAAAGCCAATGGGGTAGAAAACCCAGGTTACTGAGTAGCTTTTCGCAGGCCACGGGGGACGAGGCTACCTTATCCTGTGCTTCGTGTCTGTTTATCTTGCTGGCGCCCTGTCTTCTTCCTCCTGTGCCCATCTCTAGACCTCTGTCTACCCCAAGCAAAGGCGTCGTTCTCGCCTCTGAGTTGGCTTCTCCCCCGCCCCCGCCCCCCCCCAAACCGCTCCGGACATTGAAACCCAAAAGCCGTAGCTTCTGGCTTTAGGAGCGAGGGGAGGCCTTGTTCAGGCTCCACACACGTTGAAAGAAAAAAAAAAACAAAAAACAAAAAACGGGAGGGTAGCAGGCAAGGCGTTAACTTCATTAACTTCTCCCTGCTTGGAAGTGGGCAGTGGGCGGCTGATCGTGTCCGGCCAACCAGAGGCCCGTTGCCCAGGCAACTCACCAGCTCCGCCTCTGAGGATTGGCTGTTGTGATGGAAGTTAGCCAAGCTTTAAAGGGACGCCAGCGATTGCTCTTTTGGAAGAAAAAAAAAAAAATTCTACCAGTCCCACTGTGGGTGGAGAAATAAATGGTCTTTCTCCTTGTCAGGCCTTTTTCTGCCAAAACGGTGCTGAGTGACGTGCTCCAGCGGAACCTGGGAAGTGATGGCTTGGGAAACCATAGCAGCCATAGGACCACTGCCCGGGGCTGCGGGAGAAGCGGGGGGGGGGGGGGGGCTTGTAATTGTCCTGTCTCGTAGCATCGAGAGAAGGAGGTGGGACTCTCCTAGTCCCCAAGGATTCAGAAGTCTCTCTCTCTCTCTTTCTCCCTCTCTCTCATACACACACAAACACACACACACCACTCCATAGTGATAAGAATGATGGAGCTCTGCATTCGGCCCTCCAGGAGGATGCAGAAGAGTTGGGAGACAAGGCGCAGGAGCAGGGAGAAAGCGTCCCTCCTATAGAAGCCTCTGGCAGCACAGGTGTACCCGAGCCAGTGGGAGGTGCCCCAGCTCCAGGCGACCCTTGCTGGCCACATGCGGGATAGCACGGTGCCTTTCCCGGTGTTCTTTATCCAGGCCGGCGGACTTGAGTGATTTCTGTCCAGAGCTCTCCTTAGAGAAAGCAAAAATTCCTCCAGCTCTGCCAACGGAGTGTCCCCAAACGTTTCAAATCGTACTCCAAGCCTACAGGACCTGTGAGCCCCAGAACTCCGATGCTTGCCCTCCTCCCCCCAAAAAAAACCCTCAGATGTATTCAGTGGCTGGGTGTACCCTGGGAACCTGTACTTCTAGCCAAGAAGCTTCTCAGATGGCCCCCAGAATACCCCAATTTTAACACTTCACAGTGAAGCACACTCACTTGTCACTTTATACAGGGTAAACTGAGGCTCAAAGAGGGAGAAGGAGCCTCTATCCAACCTCAAGGTCTGAATTGGCATGCTGGGCTCCCGGCCTGTTCTTCTGAGGACAGGAACCTGAGTTGGGGATGCCAGATAAGAGTGGGGCACAGAAGGATCTGTGAGGTCACAGGAACTCACACAAGTGAAAACTGAACACTCCTGGCCAGCCGAGCCTTTTCTGAGTCAGCCAGGGTTGGCCTTCAGGTACAGCTGTATCCAGCAGCTCGGGGTGAGCTGTATGCCATATGTATTGGAAGAGATGTGTCCAGTGAAGCAGAGACTCCAGGCCCAGAAAAGAAAGTGAGGTTTGGTCAGTACAAGGCTGGACCCTACCAAAGGCTTCTATGCCCTGGCTGGCCACAGGACAGGCAGGACCAGGGGTCGTCCGAGAGGCTCCGAGCAGTGAAGAAGGCAACCTTGGGGAGATGCCTGAGCCAGAGTGTGCTGAGGGAGACCCCATGGCTCCTGTCCACAACTGGCTCTGGCGCCTCCTCAGCATGCAGCATTCTAGAGCGCCACTTGGCCCTGCCCGCGTTTCTGAAACTCCTCGTGGGCTTGCTCCAAGTCTTCAAGAACCTGCAGCAGATGGGTGATGGCTGCCCTCTGCTGGGCCAGAACCTCAGCACAGGCTCCTGGAGGGAAAGAGCAGGCCACAGGGCTCAGCAGGCTACTAGTGGTTGTTACCAGAGCCCACTTCCTGGGGCTGTAGGTCCCCCCCCCAAATTCACCAGCACTAGGGTCCCATTGGTGAACCGGAAACGAGAGGGCAGGCAGGAGAACATAGGAGGTGTGTTGAACAACTGGGGCACACATTTCTAAGGATGAGAACGGGACTTCTCTCCCTTACCGTCCCCGGCACCGGAGTCCTTCCCAGGGTCCACCTCTGGAGCTGTGTCCAGGCCACAGTCCTCCAGCAATTTCAGCCTGAGGGTTGAGAGGAAAAGGGACAAGGCTGGTTTCTTAGGCACAGCGGTGCTCCTACCCAAGATTCTCTGCTGCTTGCAGGAGAAATCAGAGGTTCACCACCATCACTACCGTCATCACCCTCACCACCACCATCACTATAATCACCATCATCACTAGCAGCAGCAGCACCATCCCCACCACCATCGCTATCATCATCACCACCATCGCCATCATTACTGCCATCATTATCGTTATCACCACCCTCACTACTATTATGGCCATCATTACAACCATCATTACAACCCTCACCACTATCACCACTATCACCATCACCACCGTCATCACTACCATCCTTACCACCGCCACGGTCATCACAACCATCACCACTCAGTTGCCACAAACATTTCTAGAGTAGCAGACACCACCTGAGTTCGTTTCATTCCACAGCCAGCTTACATGAGGTAGGTAATTACCAGTAAGGCTGTTCTTCAGATCAACCACTGACACACAGAGAGGCCAAGGAGTTTGCCTGAGGCCACACAATGTAATAATAGCTCCTACATGTGGAAGCTGTGCCGTGTCCTTTCAGTGGATTAGCTTCTGACCCTTAGGACGATCTATGGGGTCAGTATCCTGTCACCTCCTTTTCCAAATGAGGCTCAAAGAAGCCATGTGACTAGCTGAGCACCACACAGCTGCTAACTGGCCAGGATCTGAACCCAGGCAGCTCAGTACAGAACATTATCTACAGTGGGATGGGACAAGCCTGTCGCTAAACAACAGAGCCCTTCAGGCCAGGAAGGGCCAAGGAGGTGTCCACGGTAGCAGGGAGGCTCAGAAGCCAAGTTGTGTAGACCAACCGTGCCTATGTCTCTGGGGCCCTCATACTGTAAGCTGCCACACCCCCTGGGGTGGTTCAAATGTAACAAAGCTCACAGGCTCATATGCTTGAATGCTTGGTTCCCGTTTGGGGGAACTGCTCGGGATGGATTAGAAGTTTGCCTGGCATACATGAAGCTCGAAGCTCAGTCCCCAGCACCACACAAACCAGGTGTGGCGGCACACACCTCTAAGCCCAGCCCTGAGGAGCTGCAAGCAGGAGGATCAGAAGTTTAAGGTCATCTGCTACATGGCGAGTTCAAGGCTAGCCTGGGCTACAGGAAACCCTGTTGGGGAGGGCATGTTTTTAAGGGATGAATGAATGTGAGGAGGTCACCACAGCGAGAGTCAGGTGATACCCACCTGAGCTGGTCCCGCCCCAGGAGCAGCTGGCGATATACCGCCTGGGCCTCGGCGTCAGGATCCAGTGGATCACTCCAGTCTCCCAGGGTGACCGCTGAGTGGGTGCGGCTGCAGCCAGCAGCTGGGGGTACACGGTATCATCAGGGGAGTCTTGTTCCGGGGCAACAGCCTTTTCCCCGTTCGAGGCAGAGGTGCCATCACACCCTGCCTCCGTCATGAGCCCTGTCCCCTGTTTAGCTTTAACCATCAACCTGACACAGCCTAGAGCCATCCGAGAAGAGAGCCTCAGATAGCAGAATGCCCAGATTGGATCAGCCCTCAGTCATGTCTGTTTTGATTGTCAGTTGGCACAGGAGGTCCCAGCCTACTTCGGGCGGCCCCATTCCCTAGGCAGGTGGACCTGGGCTGTATAAGAAAGCTGGCTGAGTAAAGCCATGAATGTTCTCCATGGTTTCTGCTTCAAGTTCCTGCCCTGACTTCCCTTGGTGATGGACTGTGGTCTGGAAGCATAACCTAAACTAACCCTTTCTTCCCCTATGTTGTTTCCGGGAGGAGCGTTTTTATCACAGAAGGATAAAGGAAGCTAACACAGACCATATTGATCCATTAGCCCTCCCTCAGCCCCCTTTGCTCAGCCAGATCCCCACCCTGACCGTCCTCCCTCACCATCTCCATTCAACCCCAGCCACTAGAAGCAACACCTCTACCAGGAAGCCTTCCCTGAGCCCTGGGTCTCAGACAAAGCCTCAGTTTGGTGATTCTAACACTTAATAATCGGCTAGGGCTGGGATGTGGGTTAGTGGCAGAGCGATCAGGGACAGAGATTCAGGCCCAGGAACAGCATAGTAACCTGTTCTTGCCACCATAATTGTCATTGTCATCTAGCCTCGACCATAAGCCAGACTATGTGTGAGCTCTGGCAGCTGGCACGGAGTAGGAATGTGGGAAGCCGTACTTGTGTGTAGCTAACACGGTTCTTTAAGTATACAAACTCCGTATCGGCTAGCAGGATCCAGGAGGTAAGGGCTACCCTCAACCCCGCTTCCCAGCCAAGAAGACCGAGGCATAGAGAAATCAAGTCACTTTCTGAAGGTTGCACAGCACTCCCAAGTGGAAGTGGGGGCCGACGCTGATTGGCAGGCGAGGAGGGTGGAGCCTGTAGCATGCCCCGCCCCTTCACCTGAGCGCTCCGCCTGGAGGCAGCAGGTCCAGCGCCCGCTGCGGAAGGCACCAGGGTGGCAAGCAGCCAGCTTGTCCTGGTTCGGGGCGCTGGCTTTGCGCAGGGCCGACAGCCACTGGTTGAGGTCATTCACATTCTGCAAGAGGTAGCGGCAGTCAGAACCTGGGCGGGGCTGCGCCACGGTCCCCACCCCTCACCCTGCTGAGCCCTTACCTTGCATTGGAGGTAGGTGGTGTGTGGCGCCCCGGTGCCACCCTGTGTCACCACCTGCATGACGTGTGGTAGTTGGAAGGCACCCTCGTCCACACGCTCCACGGCACGGACGCAGGACAGCGGGATGGAGGAGCGGACCTGCGGGCAGCCAGGGACAGCGTCCCTTTCGATGCGGCACCAGGTGGAGTCGCTAAGGCCACACATTCAGTTCTGAATAGCTCTTTGTGTCTTCCTCTGTGACTTTTCTAGGTCTACGTTTCCTTTATCAGCATCACCAACGCCATCATCACCATCACCACCATCCCTATCACTACCATTCCGCAATCATCCTCACCGTCACCCTCTTCACCACCATCACCACCTTCACCATCACCCTCACCACTCTAACCACCACTGTCATCACCATTGTGCTGGCGAGTGTTATGTCAACTTGACACAAGCTAGAGTCAGAGGCCAGCCTGCAGGGTATTGTCTCAATTAGTGGCTGATGGGGGAGGATCTAGCCCATTGTGGGTGGGGCCATCCCTGGGCTGGTGGTCCTCCGTCTATAAGAAAGCAGGCTGAGCAAGCCATGGAGAGCAAACCAGTGAGCAGCACCCTCCGCGGCCTCTGCATCAGCTCCTGCCTCCAGGCTCCTGCCCTGCTTGACCTGCTGTCCCGACTTCTTTTGATGATGAACAGGGATGTGGAAGTGTGAGCCAAACAAACCCTTTCCTCCCCAGGCTGCTTTGGTCATAGAGTTTTATCACAGCAAGAGTAACACTAAGACGGCAATCATCATCATCATCACCCTCATCATCATCATCACCCTTATCATCTCCATCATCACCATCATCATCATCATCACCATCACCACTATCAGCACCATCATTATCACCATCATCACAACCATCACCACTGCTATCACCATCATCATCATCACCACCCTCATTATCACCACCACCATTACCACCAGTATCACCATCACCACCCTCACCCTCCTCCTCTTCATCATCTCCTTGCCACAGTGCCTGCGTATGGTACTTGGCTGTGGCTCTCTCAATCACCACGAGCCTGGGTCTGTTATTCTCCCCAATTTGAAGGTGAGGAAACTGAGGCATGAAGGTAAATGACCCTTCTGAGGTCACTCGGTCCGTGCACCTGGCCTGGCAACCCGAATGGCCGGCGAAAACCAAGCCAGACCCACATGCCGAGTCCTGGTCTCCCTTGGGCTATGCTGGCTAGGGCAGCAGTGTTATCTGCCTAGGGCAGAGCCTGGAAGGCTTGTGCTCGGGTGATTGAACTGTTGAGTAAGTGCCTGGGTGTGTGTGCACCTGTGCGTGGCCACCGGGACAGATGTATCCTATATGAGTCTTCGATGCTTAGTGTAGGCATCATGGGCCCCACCCATGCTTGTCCACACCCGGCAGAGAACGTCCAGGCATGAAATGTGCACCTGCTCAGTAACAGCAAGTGTCCCTGTCACAGGCCAGGCTGGCCCCGAGCTCGACATAAGCCGAGGGTTGGGAACTCGGTACCTCAGCGGCTATAATACTAGGGGGTGGGAGGTGAAGTCCCACCTGCCACTCCGGAGTCTTGGAGTAGGAGAGTTCCTGCCCACTCAGCCGGAAGTAGCGCTTCTTGAAGGCAAAGCGTGTGGCCAGGCCTGCGGGCTCCTCCTTGCGCTTTAGCAGGAAGCCTTCTCGAACTATCGTCGAGGGATGGACCAGGGCGCAGGCTGGACCCCCAGCCTCTGGGGAATAGACAAAGGAGGTGGGGGACTCTGCCATGTCTGGGGCCCCTGGCACCTGCTGTGCTGTTTGCTCCCAGGGGGCAGGAGGACCAGGGCTACGGCCAGAGAGTTTCATCACAGCAAGAGTAACACGAAGACAGCAATCATTGCCATTCCTTCAGCCACCACCAAGCCCCCATCCCCCAGCCATGGAGGCAGGAGACTAAACAGCAGGGGAAAACTGACACGCAGGTCCCTCTCCAAGCCCAGGGACCTGCAGGCGAGACTGCAGCTGGCTGGCAGGGATGCCCAGTCGATCCAGCAATGTCCCCAGCCAGCCTCAGACTGCAGACCTCTCTCTGCACCAGAGTCACATATCCTCCCCCAACCCCCGCCCCAGGCTGTCCACACTCAGCCAGGGCTCTCTTCCCAGCACCGTACTTTCTTCTTTCTAGCTTCTGCACTGGCCTCTCTGTTGCTCTCTGTTCCCACCCCAGGGCCTTTGCACATGCTGTTCCCAGCCTGGATCACTCTGGCACTGACACTGGTTCTCTAGTTTTAGCCAGAGTGACTCCAATGTGCACCAAGATGCCCCTTTAGCTATTCTGTGTGCCCAGACAGAAGTCAGACAAGGCGTTCTCCCTGAGGTTGGTATCTCTGAGGTCAGCTGAATCTCTCTTTCTCTGATAAGAGCTTTGGTCTGTGTACTGTTGTCTGAGTCTGCAGTCATTCCACAGCACTGACTCTAGGTGGCGCTCTGAACCCAGGGTTGCGTCAGCGCTTGGGTAGAAAGGCGCCTTGGTGAGTCCAGGGGCATTGGGAATAAACTCTGGCTCTATTCTCTGGGCACCTGGTGGAGCCCCTATCAGGGAGCTGGTGTTAATTAACAACATGACAAAAAAAAAAAAAGTCTTTTCATTCTAGTGGCACACTCTTTTTTTTCTTTTTTTCTTCCTTTCCCTTCCTCCCTTCCCCCTTTCATTCCTCTCTCTCTTTGTCTCTTCCTCTCTCTTCTCTCTCCCTCTCTCTTTCTTCCCTTCCCATCTGTCATTCTTTCTCTCTCTCTCTTTCTTTCTTGACTGGATCTCACTGTGTCACCCTGCCTGGCCAGGAACTCTATAGACCAGGCTGGTCTCTCTTGCCTCTGGCTCCCAAGCGTCAGGATTAACAACATGGACCACCACACCCAGCCCACCCTTCCCTCCTCCGTAACTCCCTGACACTCCGTATACTTGGCTATTGCCTTTTTTTGTTTGTTTTGTGTTTTAAACATAATTTTAATTCTTTTTATTTTATGTGCATTGGTCTTTTGCCTGCACGTGTGTCTGCGCGGGGGTGTCAGATTGCCTGGATCTGGAATTTCAGGCAGGTGTGAGTTGCCTGAAAGTGCTGGGAATTAAAACTGAGTCCTCTGGAAGAGCAGCCAGTGCTCTTAACCGATGAGCCGTCTCTCTAGCCTGGTTTGGTTTTTGTTGTTGGTTGGTTGGTTGGTTGGTTGGTTGGTTGGTTTTGATTTTTCAAGACAGGGTTTCTCTGTGTAGTCCTGGCTGTCCCAGAACTCACTCTGTAGACCAGGCTGGCCTCAAACTCAGAGGTCCACCTGTCTCTGCCTCCTGAGTGCTGGGATTAAAGGCATTCGCCCCCACCACCAGCTCTTGGCTATCATCTTACAACTTGGTCCCCACTAGAATAAAATTCTATGAATGAGTGCAAGGTTTTCTTCTGTCTCACTCACTTTTTTCGTGTGTGGTGTGGTGTGTGTGTGTGTGTGTGTGTGTGTGTGTGTGTGTGTGTGTGCATGTGCTCATCTGTGTGTGCTTATGTTCTCTGAGCTCATGTATGCACTCAGAGACCTGAGGTCCATGCTGGGGGGCTTCCTCTGTGCCCCAGTTTATTTTTTGACACAGGGCCACTAGTTGAACCTGGAGCTCACCATTTTGGCTGCAGTGGCTGGCCAGGGAGCCCAGATGATTCACCTGTCTCCACACCACCAACACTGTGGTTACAGGCCGGCATAGGCACACCCAGATTTTAGGTGAGTGTGGGAATCTGAACTCATGTCCTCAAGCTTGCTCAGCAAGCACTTTACCTATAAAGCCATTTCTCCCTCGTCAAACCACTTTATCCAAAGCACCTGGAGGGGTATCTAGATTTTTCTTTCTTTTTCAGTGCTGGGATTGAACCTAGGACCTCGTACATGCAAGGCAAGCATTCCTTCAGGCCTTTGGGGGTGGTGCCTGTTATATGACAGAGATTTAATAAGCATGCCCATACCAGAGACCGTGTCATACCAGAGACACATGCCAGGGTCATGTATCACACTACCACATTGGTAGAGATGACCGACACAAAATGTTAGTTGACTGACTGCAAGTCCACAGTCTTAGTGCTGGGGACCTGGGGACTAAGGCAGGGGATGCTGAGTGCTCTGGGGGCTGGGGGTCACAGGAGTGGCAGGACCACAGGACTCACCCTCATCCCCGTCCACATCGACCAGCTGGTCCAGGAAGTCCCTCACACGTGAGATGCTCTGAAGCAGGAAGGGGTGGAGGGGGGCCAGCCACTGCTCCTTGCCCTGGCCCAGCTGCTGGCCCAGGTTTCCAATGCTCTGCACAGCCTGGAGCGAGGCAGAAAGGAGGCCAAGGTCACTGCTGAGGCATGTGCCCTCTGTGGCCCCAAATTCTGGTTCTCATATCCATATACCTTGGGCACTGTCTGATCCTCCTACTCTGTTTTGGAATCAGCACCCCAGCCCACCCAGCACCTAGCACCCAGCACTGTGAAATTCTATTCTGTGTACTTGGGGACCATTAGAGCCACAAGCTGTAGTTACTTTGTCAAGAACGGCTTAATTCATACTAACATAGAAATGACTGCTAATCCGCTTCTCCCATTTCTTTTGGAAGGAATGAGTTTTGGTTACCTAATTAAAAGGAGGGGGAGGAAAAGGAGGACAACGGGGCTAGGGCTGTAGCTCAGTGGTACAGCAATTACCTCCCATTCATGAGCCCCCCCCCACCCCGTGTTCAATTCCCAGTACTGCCAAAACAGGTGAGTCAGGGGTGGAGTCAAATGAAAGCTAGGCACGGTGGTACATTTAGCATCTCAGCACTTGAGAGGCTGAGGCAGGAGGATGGCTTTGAGTCGTAGGCCAGCCTGGGTGACATAGGGAGTTCCAGGTCTCAGTGTGACCAACACCCCACCCCCCCAAACCCATGTCAGATCTTTACCCCGCTGTGCCTCTCCCCAGCTGAGAGGACCCGGATGGAGACACACACACACACACACACACACACACACACACACACACACACACACCTTGGCGAGCAGCAGCAGGGAGCGGCTGGTCTGGGGGTCTGCATGATGATCTCTGAGGTCGAACAGCTTCGGTGTGAGGATGGCGGGCGCGAAGAACCTCAGAAAGAGGAAGCCACTGGTGGCCAGGTACTTCACGTCCTGCCGGAGAACCACATGACAGGCCCTGAAGCCCTCATCCCAGCTGGGAAAACTGAGGCAGCAAAGACTAGCTGCCCAGAGGAAGGAGAGGAAGTTGGGTCAAGATACTTATCCTAGACTGCCAAGGTGGGTGCTCTTCTCTGCCTCAGTTTCCCTAGCTGCAAAATGGGGTGATGAAATTGACCACCTGTGTGCTCGGAACACACAGCCAGAGGACAGAGATGTCACTGCAACCTCAGAGAGGCCAAGTGACCAGCTCAAGATCACACAGCACAGGGGTCAGGATTCGAACCCAGATCCGTGGCCTATGGCTGCAAGAACAGGCCGTCTTCTCCTCTAGATGCCTTTACTAATCACTCGCTCTGGGGCAGGTTACATCCAGTGTTAGAGAGGCAGCAACGGAGGCTTAGAGTTGGTCATCTGCCCAAGGTTGCACAGCAACCAACAGCAGAGGCTCTGCAATTTACTCTCCGGCCATTCAGTCTCAGCTACCAGGCAATGCCCCCTAGGGTCAAAGGTCAAGAGGGCATCGAGCCCTCGAGGAGCACATTCAAATACATCTGGTTTCCAAACAAGGAGAATGAGGCTCGGTAGGGAGCCGGCTGTCAGGCTGCAGAGCCCGCCCACCTGCGTGCACCGTGTCCCTCTGTGGACTTTCCACGCTGGGCACAGCTCGCTCCCCCCCCCCCCGTGCTGTATCACACCTGGGTGTGTATGTCTGTGTTTATTTTGAGGCATCAGTCACACCTGATGTGTGCTAGCACTAGCATGCTGGGCATGTCAGCCTGGACAGTGGGCCCAAGGCTTCCAGTGAGAGGAGCCCTTCCCAGCCAGAGCCCTGAATTGGCCCCCAAGCTACCGCTTCCTCCCAGGGAGGTCCCCGAGTCATTTTGGCCCCAAAACACTAGCTCATCAAGGTACACATGAGCCAGACCTGGTGGCACAGGCCCGTCATCCTATCTACACAGAAGCCAGAGTGGGGGGTCAGTGTCACAAGTTCAAGGCTAGCTTGGGCTACAAAATGAGTTCCAGGCTAGCCCAGGCAACTTAATGATACCCTGTCTCAAAATGAAAAAGAAAGAGGATTTTGGATGCATCATCACTGGAGTGTTTGCCTAGTGTGCACAGGACCCTGGGTTTCTCCCCAGTGCCGCAGAAACTGGCTGTGGTGGCACATGCCTGTGGTTCCAGCCTGTGGGAGGTGAAGGCAGAGGGGCGACACAAGTTCAAAGTCATTGTGATAGTTTGTGTGTGTGTGTGAGAGAGAGAGAGAGAGAGAGAACTTGACACAAGCTAGAGTTACCAGAGACCCTCAGTTGAGAAAACCTCTCAATGGGATTGCCTGTGGCAAACCTGTGGAGGCATTTTCTTGACTAATGACTGATGTGGGTAGCTCTAGCCCACTGTGGGTGGCACCATTCCTAGGCTTGGGGTCCTGGGTAATGAAAAAGCAAACTGAACAAGCCTTCTTGAGCAAGCCAGCAAGCAGCAGTATTCCATGGCCTCTGCATCAGCTCCTGCCTCCAGGTATCTGTCTTGAGTTCCCTCCCTGATGAACTACAAGCTCTTTTCTCTCCAAATTTGTCTTGGTGTCCATCACAGCAGAAGGAAGCAAACTAGAGCGGCCGTCCTTGGCTGCATAAGTTAGAAAAGGCCAGCCTGGGCTACATAACTCTCTCTCTTCCTCCCTTCCTCTTTTTCTCCCTCCCTCCCTTCCTCTTTCTCTCCCTTTTCCTCTCCCTCCCTGTCTGCTCCTCCCCTTCTTCCTCTCTCTCTCTCTCTCTCTCTCTCTCTCTCACACACACACACACACACAACGCCATAATGAATCCTGTGATTCGGGGACTGTCCAGGGCTTCATGATCTGAGAAAGTTTGGTCCCTACACACTGGGAACACTCGGATGGCACTTATGTCGGCTTCCTGGGCTGCGAGGAGTAGGGAGCTGGCCTCCTGCTCTCTTCCCCTCCCCCTACCTCAGCCGTGTCCCACTTAACACCTATGAGTCGGCCCAGGTGAGAGCCAAGCTAAGTGAGGAGCAATGATGCCACCTCTATATGGGCAGCTAGAGCTCAGCTCTCTGTGGAGGAGGGGTCTGAGGATGGAATCTCAAGCTCCCTGGGCCTCAGTTTCCCCATCTGTAAGCAAGAAGCACAGAGAATGCTATATATGTCCAAAGCTGCAAGAATTGGGCTGTGACATCGCCAGTGTTCAGGAGGTTCTAGATCTTTCTGTCAAGTGGTCCATATCTAGAATGGGGTAAAAGTCTGTCTGGCTGCGGCTGGAGACTTGCCTCAGTGCTTAATAGATCCTCCTGCTCTAGCAGAGGACCCTAGTTCAGGTCTCCTCATCCACATCAGCCGGCACTCACATGACTGGAATGCTAAGGACGCATATGACACCCTCTGGCCTCCGAGCCTGCACACAGGTGCGTGTGGGCACGAACACACGTACATAAATCTTAAAAAGTAAAAAGGAGTCTTGCTGGTTTCATTTTTACCTTAAGAAAGTAACAGTCACCTGTGTCTGTTGCTCAGGTTAGCCTTGAACTTACAATCCTTCTGCTGCAGCTGCCCTGGGGACCTGGGATTACAAGCCTGTGCCACCCCTTAACAGCCACCTCAGATTGTACAATGAACATTATGAAAACAGGGATTTCAGGCCAGGCAGTGGTGGTGCAAGCCTTTAATGCCAGCATTCAGAAGGCAGGGGCTGGCAGATCTCTGAGTTTAAGGCCAGCCTGGATACAGAAGACAGAGTTCCAGGACATCCAGGGCTACACAGAGAAACCCTGTCTCAAAAAAAATAAAAAATAAATAAAAATCAACAGTGAAAAACACACAAAAACAAAACCAGAGATCTCGGACTGGTGGCCCACGGCCCAGGATAATGTCAACATGTGGTGACTGACTCCAAGTGGTATCTGCTTGTCTGGGTGTCTGGGTGTCTGGGTGTCTGGGTGTCTGGGTGTCTGGGTGAATTAATCCCAATGTTTCAAAACCGGACACTTCACATAGAATCCTGGTGAGAGAGATCCTATATGAAGGAGGGAGGAGGAGAAGGAGAAAGAGGAAAGAAAGGAAGGAAGGAAGGAAGGAAGGAAGGAAGGAAGGAAGGAAGGAAGGAAAGAAGGAAAGAAAGAAAGAAAGAAAGAAAGAAAGAAAGAAAGAAAGAAAGAAGGAAAGAAGGAAAGAAGGAAAGAAGGAAAGAAGGAAGGACAGGACAACCTAGCCCAGTCTAGATTGGGGCAAAAGGCTGTCTGTCACTCCAGATATTCCAGAAGGAAAGAAGGAAGGACAGGACAACCTAGCCCAGTCTAGATTGGGGCAAAAGGCTGTCTGTCACTCCAGATATTCCAGAGGCTAATCAGGAGGATGGCAAGTTCAAGGTCTGCCTTGGCAGTTTAGCAAGGCCCTATCTCAAAATGCAAAAAGTGAAGAGAGAGCTAGGCCTTGGCTCAGTGGTACTGTACCTGCCTGTACTGTGTGTGGGAGTCTGGGTTTCAGCATAGCATAGCAGTGAGAAAAAGACTGCAAGAGCAGGGAGACTAGGCCCCATTCCTACGTAGAACACTGGCCTGATTGGTCCCTGAGGACAAGCTGTGGGAGCTACATTTTGCCACAGTCTCCACCATTCCCTCCAGTCCTACATCTGCTCTGTTCATGTACCTCACCTGGCCCAAAGCCACAGCTCCCAGTTTCTCCCTTTTGTATCCAAGCTGGGAAAGCCCAGCACCTGCCAACCACACTCAGCCTTCATCCTGGCCCTGTCCTTCTCCCTCCCTCCCGTCTCTCTTCACCATCACCACCTTCAATATCACCACCATCACCATTATCACCATCACTGGTCCCCTGGGTTGCTGGTCCTGCCAGGACACACACACTCAAGTCTGAGCATCCCAGGTCTTGGTGTCACCTTTGACCTGGACAAGGTCTCCCCTCCCCCAACCCCCACACAGCACAACCCAACATCCACATCAGCCCCCACAGAGCCCAGCCCACCTGATGCTCCACCCCGGGGAAGCGCCTCTCCACACACCGCTGGAGCTGCTTAAATGCCAGGCGCAGGGCAAGAGGACAGCGCCCTGCAGAGCTCACAATGGCATCCACGATGGACCCCAGGTATCCGGTCAGCAGCCCCAGGCTGGTCTCCCGCACCTGCTCCTCCGTGGGTGTGCCCTTGAAGGAGATCCTCCTGTGGGGAGCCAGCAGAACCTTCGGTCAGAACGCCACAGCTGCTGCCTCAGAACCCCCACCGGCCTCCATTGTGCCTCCCACCCCTGACATCAAGCTCCCTGCTGGAGCCTGAACACAGGGTCTCCTCTCAGAGCCTTCCAAGTGGCTGTCCCCTTGTCCTGAGACATGCTGCCAGGCAGCCGAACTGTCACCTCCTCAGAATGGCATCACCCCCGCACCTAGCTCCGGGTGTCTTCCAGCATGGCCATATCAGATGTCCCAAGCTTGCCTTGGCATATACTGTCCCCACTGCCTGGAGTCCTCCAGCCAGCAGGTCCCAGCCCCTGTGTCCAATCATGGCCCTGTGTGGTCCTAACAGTCACTCATGAGTTGAGTTACCCACGGTGACCCATCCCATCTAGCAGACTTGGAAACTGGGGGCCATCAATGTGACTTTGCCAGTAGGTGGAAAACCTGAGATTAGAAGCCAGGATGGACTCTAGAATCTATCTGCAAATCTGCCCCGCCCGGGTCCCCAGTGTCCCATCGCCCATGAGTGTCACTGAGTCTCCCACGGTATCCATTGATCCTCCGGGAGTTTCACAGTCAACTCTGCCCTTCTGCTTGGAGCCTGGGCCCAAATTCCCCCTTTAAAACTTGCCAGTTGTGTGACCTTGGAGCTCCCCTCATGGCTGAGACCTGTGCCTGGGATGGTCAGAGGTGTGAGGTCTCTAATTTTCCTCACTACCGTCCTAACAGATTGCCTGCCTAAGCAAGGGTAGCCAGCCCTCTGACCATAGCAAAGAATGTCCCAGAAAGAAAGGAGCAGGAGTCCACAGAGGTGTGGAGTGGCTTTCATTCACAGCCTAGCTTGGCCCCAATCTCATAGAAGGTTCCTGGGAGCTATTTTGCAGACCCATGTGGGCCTCCATCATTTCCCAGCCTCTCTCTCTTCTGAGCTTTACAGGTGAAACACATAAGCACCCACAGTGACCCCAAGTGTCAGGTCAAGTCACAGGATGTAGGAGAGTCGGAGCCAGGATTTGAACTCAGCAGGCTCTGAGTTTCCCAGTCCAGCCCAGAACAGCCTGAGCACCTACAACACGCAGAAGCTCGGAGACTACCTATGTGTCCCTAGGCAGGTAGCAGCCAGCATAGAGCAGCCCAAGGCACCTACAGATGATAAGGGGTGGCTGAGACCTGGGACACACACACACACACACACACACACACACACACACACACACACGCCTCCCTCACCGGGAGCGATTCAGGTCCATTTTGGAAGGGTCCAATTCCATATATTTCTTCTCCTCGAAGACGCGGCTGATCACTGGCCTCAGGACCTCGTGCAGGTAGCGCATGCCCACGAGCTGGGGGCAGGGGCCACACGGAGCGGCTAAGGGTGGCAGGGAACGCCCTGGGCTGGGGCAGGGGGTGTGCAGGGAGATTTCAGAGCTAGGCGGGCCCTGGGTGCCGAGGGTGCCGCCCAGGGCTGAAGCCAGGCACCTGCCACCAGCACCCAGCTCAGCCACCTAGTGCCACATGAGGCTCTGGGGCCCCGGGGGAGCAGGGCAGGAAACCAGCTGCACCCCGACATGCCCGTCTTCCCACTCACCTTCATGAACTGTTCCACAGACTTGGATGCCAAGGAGTTAGAACGGAATAAGGTGTTGGGGTCATCTGCGAGGAGAGGGAGGTGTGTTTGCTGCGGTGGAGGGGGCTGGGAGCCAGCTCACCCCCCTCACCCATGGTGGGGATATGATTCTTTCAGCCTCAAGAATCAGGAAGAACCCAAAACGTCAACTTCGTTCACAATTCAGAAGCTCAGGATGGTTTCGCAAGCTGCCTGGGGTCGCATGGCACCTGAAGTTGGTCCTGTACTCTCGGCCCTCTAGGGGTCACAGCACAGGCTCCTCAACATATGAGTCTCCCAAAGGACCCCATTTCTCCCCTGTCCTTGGGGAGTGGCATTGGGGACCCCGAGGGAAACTCACTGGTTCGGGCCACCTCACGCCTTGTGAGGTAGTCTAGAAAGGGCCCGGCCAGGCCCCGGCCTAGGAACAGCTTCACCAGCTTGGTGGCAAGGTCCTGACGACAGTCCCCAGAGGCCAGCAACTCTAGCACAGCCAGGGGGCTGGAGGTGTCCTCCTGAGCAGGGACAGGAGAGCCAACAGGTGACCGGGGGGCCCTAAAGCAGAACTCCCTGATCTCAAGGGAGAGCTACACCCGAGACCCAAGGAGCCCAGGCGGAGCACCCGCCGCCACACCCACCTCGGCTGGCCCTTGCACCGACTCCAGAAGCAGTTCCATGAGAGGCTGATAGTATTGGGAAGGCAGGACACGGTCCTCAGTGAGACGCACCTTCAGCCTCAGGGCCCCCAGACTCCCCCTAGATGGAGCAGACCGTAGAGAAGGGGATGTGGGTACAGGCCAGCCCAGAGTGAGGCAGAAGCATGGGAAGGGGCAAGAGACAGGGGGTGAAGGCAGAGGAGGGCAATGGGGACAGAAACAGAGAAAAAGAGGAATGAGGGGCCCAGACAGTGTATGGGAGGGCCAGAGTGGTGACGGTGGCCAGGTGCACGCACACACGCACACAGGACAGGCAGAGCAGCAGGCAGGAGCAAAGCAGTAAGATGTGGGTGTTGTGGACACAGTGGCTAGTCATGTATGTGAATGACTTGGACAAAATTAACCAGGAAAGAATGATGGGGACAGGGGGCTCTAAGGTCAGCGTGCACAGCACAAATGCACAGACATCCGAGGCCCAGCTCCTCAGGACGGTGGCAGAGCTCCAGCCTAGCACAGCCAAGGCTCTGGGTTCAATCCCTGACACTGCATAATAAGGCAAGGGACGGAATCAGGTAGGCAGGCATGAGGGGAGCCGACATTCTGACACACACTGAGTGGGCCAGCCTGTCCGCAGTGGACGATGGCTGGGTGGACCTATAGAAACAGCCTGGGGGCCTGTGACTAGGAGATCACTGGATGGCGATGAAGTGCCATGCTGGCAGGCTGATACCAATAGCCATGATAACCTGCCCACAAGCTGAGACGCCCCTCCCTAGGCACCCTCATTTACCCAGAATCCTCAGCTCTAGGAAAGGGCAGGAGGCGGAACCAGCCGTTGGGTGGCCTCTGCTGGAGGGTCTGTGGTGTGAATTCCACCTGTGGGAGACACACAGACCTCAGGTGGGGGACCCGTTCTGCCTGATGAGGGCCCACCCAGCCCTGGAGGGGAAGCTTGGGCTGCCATCCATGAATGGCATGTGACCAGCCAGGGTCCACTTCTTCCTCTCTCTCAAGGGCACTTAGGGCCTCCAGGGGACACTTAATTTACAATTGAGAAAAGCTAAGTCTTGGAGAGATGGCTTTCCCTGGGCCACACAGTGACCTCGAGGTGAGCATAATGTCACTGTCACAGCCATAGCCTCAGACAAGCCTGGGGCCATGTTCTCGGAGCAGAGCCAAGAGCCACTGGGCCTTGGCAAAGCCACTTCACTGCTCCGAACCTCAATTTCCTCAACTGCAGGCGAGATAATGAGTGTCACTCTCACAAGGTGGTGACAGGGTTAGGTCGATGCAGATGGCTGGCACCAGAATACCAGGAGCCTTGGGCCCATCCTGTGGTCTTGGGCAGGTCCTTGCATCCTTTGCCTGTCCCATGGACAGTGAGGCTCCACTACCCAGGCTGGCCATTGAACACCCACCCTCCATCCCCACCTCACCTGCCTGCTCATTGGAGGTGCTGGGGAGAGAGAGAATGCGTTCATTAGTGGGAGGGACGCTCACCATGCCCAGGAAGTCATTCTTGCCCACCATGTCCCAATCCCAGAGCTCCACTCGCAATGGGGAAATGGTTCCTGGGGCCTCCCGAAGCTCCAGCACCTCATCCCAGTGTGGGAAGCGGGTCTTCTTGATGGTCTGAGGGTGGAAAGGGCTCTAAGTGGGAGAGGCCACAGGCTCCACCCACTGAGGGATGTCCTGCTCCTGCCTGGCTCACTGTCTGCTCACCGACGTCTCCAAACTGTGGCTGCCCCAGAACACGCGTGCGAAAGGGTCCGATGTGCCAGAGATGTCCCGGGGGGCCAGATCCCTGGGGACAGAGTAAGAAAAAGAGTGTGTGGTCACAGGCCCTTGAAGATCCAGACCCAAGGTGGGCGCAGGAAAGGGAGTTCAAACTAGATCATTCTAATGGCAATGTTCTGTTTCGAGGGCAACAAGCCTGTCCATCACAGGGGCCCAGTCCTGGTCCTCACTGCATCCATGCAGACCTCGCAGCTTCCAAACACAAAACCTAAGGGGAGGTGTGAGAGTTCCTGATTTCCAGAAGGGGAAACTGAGGTACAGAACACTCAAACTCTGTATCACAAAGCCCAGCAAGAAAAGAAAAGATACAGAGGGAAAGAAGGAAATGCCTCAGTTTCCCCAGTGGCCCTAGAAGGGGAGCTACAGACACAAATTCAAAGCCTGGCCCTGCACTCACTGCCTCGGTAGCATCAGAAAAAGTCACCTCTGCTGGGTGGTGGTGGTGAACACCTTTAATCCCAGCACTAGGGAAGCAGAGGCAGGTGGATCTCTGAGAGTTCAAGGCCAGCCTGGTCTGCCAGGGCTACACAGAGAAACACTGACTCAAAAAATCGAAGATGAAGGAGGAGGAATAGGAGGAAGAGGAAGAAAAATAGAAAGAGAGAGAGAGAGAAAAGAAAAAAGAAAAGTCACCTCCACTCTCTGAGGCTTAGACCAGAAAATGACAATACAGACCAAGTTCACAGGGCCCAGGGTCCAATGAGATGACACAGGCAAGTTATTTAGCATAGCACTTTGCTTAGCTCACTTATTCATTCAACAAACATCCATGCCCACACCTTGCTTAGGAACAAAGGGAAAACATGAGACACAGACATCCTGCCTGTGGTTGCCATGACAACTCAAAGCCTCACCTGAGTCAGCTTCCCCATCCCCCCTTCTCGAGGCCCCCAAATCCAGGAACACCCCACCACCACCAGGGGCTGTTTCTTCCTCCACGCTTGTTTCCCAGCCTTGCTGGGCATCCAAAGACTTCGGTTTCCTAGGAACCGATACAGTTGCTAAGCGACAGCAATCGGTCCCTCTCCTGCTTTCAAAGGATCCTGTACAGCCTAGTGTCTGGGGAGGGGTCATAAGCAGAACAGTGAGATCAGACCCCTTCACACAATCCCTTATCTGGTTCTCTTCCTCCTTGGATTGATTCTCATCCATGCTTCTCCCACAGCCAGCTGGGGCCAAGACAGGGACCGGAATCCAGGGGTGGCAGGAGAAGCTCAGAGAGAGCAAGGAAGGGTCTTATGGTCACACAGCTAGCTAGACAGATGGATTGTCCTTAATGTGTGTGGGCAGAACCTAACAGAGAAGGTTCAAGGAGGGAGGTGAGTGGAGGGCAGTAAAGGCAGGATGTCAAGAGGGTAGAAGATGCAAGAGAACAGGAGTGGCTGGAGGGCAGAGGACAGGACAGGAGACTCAGAGCGAGGCAGGATGGATGTGGCTGGCCGGTCTCTAGAGGCCGCCTGTGGGTTTTAGGGGCCTCGAGTCTATTGACTTCGTCCAGGCTTTCCTCATCACCCTCTCTCTCAGCCCACGAGACTCCAGCGTACTCCCCAGATCGAGCCAATAAAAATTAACCCTGGGGCCAGGTGGTGGTGGCACACAACTGTAATCCCAGCACTCAGGAGGCAGAGGCAGGTGGACCTCTACATTCAAGGCCAGCCTGGTCTACGTAGTAAGTTCTGGGACAGCCAGGGCTACACAGAGAAACCTTGGCTTGGAAAAGAAAAAAAAATAACAACCCTGGCATGTTCGGTAAAGTAAGGTTCTTGATCAGTTGGTAGGATACCAGCCTTGGGCCATGAGGTCTCTCTTGTTTCCAGTCAGATAAACACTGCCTGACATCACCCTCTGGATTCCTGGACCCATCATGCCTAAAGCCACAGTCAGCCCGCTGAGCCAATAATGATTAAGTCTTCTGCCCAGGAAGTAAGAATCTGCTATTTATTACTGTGTCTCTATAAGTATGGCATGTGTGTGTGTGTGTGTGTCCGTCTGTCTGTGTATATGTGTGTGTGTCTGTGTGTGTTTGTCTGTCTGTCTGTGTCTCTGTGTATGTCTGTCTGTGCTATGTGTATCGGTGTGTCTGAGTGCATGTCTGTGTGTGTATTTGTCTGTGTGTGTGACTGTATCTGTGTGTCTGTCAATGTGTGTCTGTCTGCGTGTGTGTGTGTGTGTGTGTGTGTGTGTGTGTGTGTGTGTGACTCTGCGTGCATAATGCATGTGTGGAGGTCAGAGAACAACTTTGGAGAGTTGGTTTTCTCCTTTCACTGTGGGTTCCAGGGGTCAAATTCAGGTCATCTGGGTTGAGTGGCAAGTGATTTAGCTGCTGAAGCATCTCACCATCCCTGAACCACTCCCCACACTCAGCTGTCTGCCATCTGAGTATCTAACTAACTGCTGTTGGTTCCTACGCTCCTGGATTAAGAGTTTGCTTTGCCAGGTGTTGTGGCGCAAACTTTTAATCCCAGCACTTGGGAAGCAGAGGCAGGCGGATCTCTGTGAGATTGAGGCCAGCCTGATCTACAAAGAGAGCCCAGGATAGCCAAGGCTACACAGAGAAACCCTGTCTCAAAAAAACAAAAACAAAAGAAAAGAAACAAAAAAGAACATGGAGTGGAAGAGGTTCGGACCAAGAAGGGCAAGAGTGTCCCCATGGTTACCAACACTCCTGCTCAGTTTTGGTTTTGTGTTTTTATTTGTTGAAACAGCGTGTCTAGCCTAAAAGTTCCTTTGTCCCTAAGATGACCTGTAATCCCTGATCCTCCAGCCTCCACCTCCTGAGTGATGGGATCATGAGTATCTCCATACACGGTGAATGCTGGAGCTGGAACCCAGGGCCTTGTGCACGCTAGGCTAGGCCATCACCCTACCCACCCAGCCACATCCCCAGCCTCCTCCCTCATTTTCACGGCACCGCACGCTTCTCCCCCAGGGCAAGCACACCTGGCCTGTCTCACGTGGCAGCGCAGGCACCGGCCCCGAGCATCCTCCAGCAGCTGCACCGCCAAGCAGACTTCACCCTGCACCTCAGCGTCTGGGTCCACTCGGCTCAGGTTGATCCAGCTGTCGATTCCTGAGGGACACACCTGGTGTTTAGGAAGTGCCTGCCACTCACTCACCAGGCAGCTCAGAACTGTCACTGAAGATGGCTTCTCACGCAGGACCTCAGATGCGGTCTGCAATCAGCCCCATGTCAGAGGAGGAAACTGAGGCACAGAGAATCAATCCGCCTCTGCCCTCGACCCCCCCCCCCACCTAGAAAACAACAGAGATGGGCAGTGCAGCTCTGGGACTGATACTGTGCCTGGGGTCACCATGGAGCATGAATGACAGACACAGACACACACACAAACAGTTATACACACATTCACACAGACATACACACTCATACACACAAACAGACACACACACACTGCTACTCAGATACACACAGACACAGACACACACACACTTCATCACACTAAACATCATTTATTGACTTCTGACTCCCACTGGAGCTAAAGGGAAGTAGGCTTCCAGCCCAATCCCTCTTTGGCAAACATCTTTCCCTGTTTGTTTCTCTTTTGTTTTGTTTCCACTGAGGATCTTGTTTTGTAGCCCAGGTTAGACTGGAACTCCTGCTCCTCCTACCTCCACCTTGTGAGGGCAGGGGTCACGGCTTTGGCCACCACACCTAACGCCATGTTCTAATCGCCTGCTGCCCTTTTTATCTCTTTAAATAGCTGACCTGTAACTGTGGCTAGTGTGATCAATTTGACAAGACTCTAGAGACACCCACCTGGGAAGCCAGGCTTCCAGGCACACTTGGGAGGGATTCTGTAGATCACGGTTAGTCCCTGAGGACACCTGTGTGGGATTCTCTTGATTACATAACTGACTCGGGGAGACCCATCACAGCATGGGCAGGGCCATCCCCTAGGCTTGAATCCTGGACCTACAGGATGAAGAACTGGAGCTGAGCTCCAGCTGTCCCTCCTCTCTGCTTCCTGACTGTGGTGGGATCTCAGCTTCTGGCCAGGGTGAACTGCTTTCTTCAACTGTGAATCAGAATAAACCCTCCCTCACTTAAGCTGCTTCTGTCAGAGTCCTGGGAAGAGAAAGTAAGACCAGGACACACAGAGGCCAGGGACTCTCAACCTGGGGGTACGGGGGGGGGCTGCTTACCAGACCTCCTGCATGTCAGATATTTACATGATTCGTAGTGGTAGCAAAATCACAGTTATGAAGTAGGAACGAAAGTGATTTTACGGTTGGGGGTCACCACAGCACGAGGAACTGTGCTGTGTTGGGGGTCGCAGCATCAGGAGGGTTGAGAACCACTTCTCTAAGATCTTGCCGGGTTCGCATCCCATTACAGCTGCTACGGACTCTCACTCGTGATGCCTGCTGGTTTTGTGTTTTGTATTTGCTGTTCTCTGTGACTAATCTCTCTCTGTTCAAACCTCAGGGAGTGTGTCCTCAGCGGGACCAGGGTGTCCTGGGTCAGTGTCTTCTCCCTTGACCCCAGCTCCCTTCTCGGATGCTCTCCTTAGGGAAACCCATGCTTCCTGGCTGGATTGCTGCTCAGCCCTTCCTGTTTAGCCCCTGACTGGGGTGGATATGTGGTAGAAAGAAGGGATTGTCTTGCTCCAGTTCTCCCTGTCTCGGGGAAGGCATTTCTGAGAATATAGCACTCCCCTTCAGGAGGCTAGACACAGAAGAGCGTCCTCTTTCTCTCCCCCACCACCCCCAAGTCCAGGAACCTTCCAGTTTTCTGTCACTTGGTTACCACAAAGACGCCTCACTGATCCTTCGTGTCCAGCCTTGTCCTGCTGTGACCTGATCCCTGCAAAGCAGCTGCTCAGACTGCTGACACTAGACCTCCAACCTCTTCACTTGATCAAAGACCATCAAAGGAGGCCAGGCGTGGTGACCCAGCCTTCAGTCCCAGCACTCGGGAGGCAGAGGCAGGCCTGTGAGTTCAAAGCCAGCCTGATCTGTGAAGTGAATTCCAGCCAGGGTTACACAGTGAGACCCTGTCTCAAACGAACAATCAGGCAGGCAGCCATCTGTGGCTTCCCACTGCCACCGTGAGAAAACCTAGAATCGGATCCTCTGAGGCTGGAGTTACAGGCACAGGCGGGTGCTGGGAACTGAACTCTGACCTCTAGCATAGCGGGGCTCACTCTTGACTGCTGAGCCCCCTCGGCAGCCACTGTAGCTCTAATGTAGCAAACATGCAGTTAGGGCTGGAGGCATAATTCAGTGATAGAGCTATTAGGTTTGATCCCAGCACTAACAACAACCACAACAAATGAGGTCTCACTATGTAGCCCATGCCAGCCTCCTGAGTGCTACAATGACAGGCATACACCGCCAACCCAGCTTGGGAAGCCGCTCTTACCAGCATCCCCCCTTCTTGCTGGCATTCCCAGTGGTAGGATGTGGTATCCCTCCGCCCCACCAATATGAGGACAATGTCCTCCTGTCCAGCACACAGGGGCCCTCTCCTGAGGCATCCTTATTTCCTTTGGCTCGTGAAAGTCATGGGGCCTGTGAAGCATCACAAAGAATACATGCACCCAGCGGTGGCAGTGGCGGTGGTGGTGGGACACATCTTTAGTCCCAGCACTTGGGAGGCAGAGGCAGGTGGATCGCTGGGTTTGAGGCTAGCTTGGTCTACAAAGTGAGTCCAGGACAGCTAGGGCTACACAGAGAAACCCTGTCTCAGGGGATAAAAAATGCATACAGGGATTGGATAGATGGCTCAGAAGTTAAGAGCACTGGCTTTTCTTCCAAAGGTCCTGAGTTCAATTCCCAGCAACCACATGATGGCTCATGACAGTCTATAGTGAGATCTTGTGCCGTCTTCTGGCAAGCAGTACAGAATACTGTATAAATAATAAACAAATGTTTAAACAAAACAAAACAAAGATTTAAAATATTTTTTTAAATAAACGCAAAAATGTATGTTTGATGCAATTAATAAACTCCAATAAACTTCCAGGAATTTCTCTGGCTGCTGGGACCTGAGTGTGTACCACTCCCGGTAAGTACGGGGCTGCTCGCTGCAACGGCTTGTGCTGGGAACGCATTGCCAACACCCCAGATGCTTCACCAGGGAGCCAGCCAAGTGCCAGATGGGATATTACAGCAGAGCGCAGCGATTTCAGGTCTCAGAAATCCTTCGGGCACCGTTAGGCAAAGGCCTGAGATAGACACTTTGGCTGCTAGGCACGGTGGTGCCTGCCTGTCATCCCAACACTGGGAGGCTGAGACTGGACTTCAGGCATTACAGCCAGCCTGGGGCACCTTGCCTCAAAACTACGTGCTAAAGAGGGCTTGAGAGATAGCTCCCCCCAGCTGAAAATCTAGAAGCTCTGGCTTTGATTCTCAGCACCCACATGGCGGCTCACAGCCATGTGTAACTCCAGTTCCAGGGGATCCAACGCCCTCTTTTAGCCTCTGCAGGTACTGCAGGTACACATATACAAGCATGCAAAACAAAATATAAAGTAAAAATAAATTAAAAATTAAAAATGCACAATGAAGGAGAGCCAAGTGTATCAGGATACTGTGTGGGCTGAAATACACACACACACACACACACACACACACACACACACACACACACACACACATGTAACACGGTGAGCTCAAGCCCCTGGACCTAAACAACATTGGTCCCAAGTCCTAGCTGTCACAAAACTTTTGTGACCATGAGCAAGTCACTGAACCTCTAGGCCTCAGCATTGTCACAGGAGAAACATGCATGAATAAAGGTCCCCAACTCAGAGGGGGACTCAGCATGCACTCACAGTGTGTCAGTGTTTCAGGTGCTGCTGTTGCTCTTGCTTATGTGTGTTAAAAAAAAAAAAAAGCCCTTCGGGGCTAGGGTACAGTTCAGAGGCAGAGCACTTGCAAGGCCCTGGGTTCATCCAACCTGGATGTATGTATGTGCAAATACATGTGTGTGCAAATATATGTAAATATGTGTGCCAATGTATACACAAATGTGTATGTGCAAATGTATATGTGTGTGTGTGTGTGTGTGTGTGTGTGTGTGTCTAGAAAGACTCAGGAGGCTGACCTCAGCCAGGCATGGCACTGTACATTGGAATACCAGCATGAAGGAAACTGAGGCAGGGACTCATTTTGAGGCTATCTAAGGCTAGATAGAGAGACCCTGTCTCAAAAAAGACTGAACTGAAGTTGCTGACTGCACCGGATAAGGAACAGACTCCCAGGTGGCCAGGGGTGTCGTGTTTCTGCTGTGTGAACCCCACGTCTATGAAAATAAGTGAGCTGCTCAATACATGAACTGAATTACAGATTAAAGAGATACAGCCCTCCCACACACACACAGGCTCTGAGCCTCCCGAGATCCCTCCCTCAGTCCTTGCAAGGCCTCCGTGGGTCAGGCCATCCTTCCTCTCCCGCCCGCCATGCCCTGCTCACCTCGAGGGTCGGCTGTGATTGCCTCCTTGCTCAGGGAGATCTTCCCAATGATGTCATCGTGTCTGTGGGAGGGTGGTAGGAGAAGGTCAGGCTAGGACCCTGACCCTCCCACAGAGCCGTGGGGGCAGGCATTGGGGGTTGGAAACAGTACGCTTCTTCTCGGTATCCAGGCTCGGGGACCCCGGTGCACACCCCAGCCACCCAGCCACCACGAACCCAACAGTGTCCTCGTCCAGCACGTAGACGGCCAGTTGGTGGAAGTCCAGCGGCAGGTGCACTGTGTACTCCTCCCCCCAAAAGGGGCTCAGGCTCCTCCAGATGGTCGCTGTCCTGCAAGATGGAGGCTGGGCTGGGGCCTGGTGTGGTGGGTGACTTGGGAATCTCCACAAGCACAGCTATGGGCACACGCACAAGGACAGACATGGCCCTGCACACCCTCCTAGAATCTACATACGCCCCCTCCCCATCCCACGATGGGAGCAAGTGCACTCAGAACCCAGAGCCCAGACAGAGAGGCTCGCCATGCACACATACCAGAGTGGCAGACAAATGCAGGCACGGCTGCAGGGAGTCAGTGTGTGCGTGTACCACACGAGTGTCCCCAAGATGCAACTAAAGAGGTTTCCACGTAGGCCAAAACACAAGCATGGAAGCACACACATACATACAACCAGAGAAACACACCTAAACATGCCAGAGACACGGGACACACATTCACCCATACGCAGAACCACACACAAGCATCCTCAGACACGTCTAGGGACCTGTTTGTAAATACAGACACCGTGTCCCAGATTGACACAAATCTGCATCACAGAGACCCAATGTTTTCTCGTGAGGCATGTAAGACGTGCTTACCTAGCAACATACAAGACTCAAATCACCACTGTCTAGGGGTCCACTCATTCCTTCCCTTCCCTACCCGGCACCCGGACTGTAGACATCATCCGTGATTGGGGTGAGCTCAGTGATGCCTGGGCTGGGGAGGGGCTGGGGATAGGAGAGGGCTTCTCACACAAATTAGTCCAGGCAAAAGAGAACTGGGCAGGGGGACAAGCCTTCCAGATGGCTGGAACAGCATGTGTAAAGGCCCTGAGGCATGAGCAGAGCTAACTCACTGTGGGACCAACAGGGGTCAGAGGGAGCACTCAGCGCTCACTTCCACAAAGTCGGGCACCCGGAAAGTCGGGGGCACTAGGGTCAAGCCGAAGCCAGACACGGCCTGGCACCCTGACCGGGCTCCCACCATGGCTGCCCCTCGGAACAAAGACTCTGCTTTGTCCGGTGCCACCCCAGCCAGACCCAAGTGTGCTAAGCTTGCTTCCTTCTGCTGGTTCCTTCCAGCCCAGAGAAGGGAGAACAGCTGCCCGGAGACATAAAGAAAGCCAGCCTGAGGCTCAGGGGTTCGTATCTTCCAACAGGGCAAACACAGAGGAGATGCGGGAGGGGTCAGCCTTCCCTGGGGACTCCCCACCCCCAGCTCCCAGCCCATCTGGACCAGAACTCCTGCCAGGAGCATCCTGAATCCTGCCGTCTCCATAGAAACCAAGGCTTCAGCCACCCGCCCACCCACCCCCTCAGGTCTGCAGGGGGCTTCGAGCTGTCCCTTGACCTGCGGGGGCTCAGCTGATGTCCCATCCAGACTCAGCGCCCACAGACGTCCACACACCTTCCCTTGCATTCACACCCGCTCCTGTGTGCGCATGCACATGTCCCTCCCCGCCCCGCTCTGGTACCCACAGAGTCCTGCACACCCACACGGACGCTCACGCACGGTCAGAGGCACTCACAGCGGCTCTGTGGCACCCCAGACGGGCAGACCAGCGCACACACGTGCATACACACACATTCCCCACTTGAACATTTGTGCGAATACAACACACCCCGGACACCCACAGGACCCAGAGGCCAGAGCCAGCCAAAGCAGCCAAGCATGAGGCGTCTGCCCCCCTCCCCCCCAGAGGCCCGCACAGCCCGATGGTGGCTGAGTCAACCCCAGGGAGCCACAGAGACATCCTAGGTCTCCTGACAGAGGACAGTTGACATTGGCCCCAGTGGGGTACCCTAGAGGCCAGGGCATAGCGGACTCCTTGAAGCCTGAAAGACACCCCCCAGGAGGGGCTCCACTCTCTGCTCTTGGGTCCTTTCCCCTCCCCAGCCGCTGTGGACCACGCACCTGGCTACCACCTCGTCATCCACTTTCACCAGGCAGTAGGGGTCACTGCTCCCAGACCTGCGGGGGGGGGGGCAGGGAGGCCAAGGACAATGTTGGAAGGACAGCCACAGCGGGAGCCCAAATACCCAGAGAGGAGAGGAAACCTACCCTGGGTCACACAGAAAGTCCTACAGAGAGACAAGGGCTTGAGAAACATCACCAGGTGATGCCACCACAGCCCAGGCTGCTCAGCCACCGCCCGTGGGCAGGAAAGGCCTGGTCCTTCCTACTCTGGGACCTCAGCTTTGTCACTCTGTGACTCCTGACAGACACTGACACCCACCGCAGAGAGGGCAAGAGGGGTTAAGAGAGAGAGAGGTGGGTGAGGGATCGTGAGTTACCCTGAGCTCCCTGCCCCAGACAAAACCCTGATGCTGACTTCTGAGCTAAGCATTGCTCTCCTCAGCCTGCCCTTTCTCCCTCCGTCCTCAGCAGGGAGCACCTATAGGCACACACCAGGGCCCAGGACCTCAGAACCAAACCCACAAGGGTGGCTGCAGGCCTGGAATACATCTCAGTGGTAGATTGCTTGCCTAGCATGTTCAAACCCAGGGTTCCATCTCCAGCAGGAAAACAAAACAAAACCAAATCCCAGATGTGCTTTTTCCCCTCACAAAACCCTGAGCCCTAAACCAATCAAAGCCAGCCACACCCACCTCCTTTTTAGAAAAGTAGTCACCAGTAAACCCCAGGACATCTCCCCTTTATAGTAGAAGTCACCAGAAAACCCTAGACTGCCTACCTGGGTCTCCATTACCTCACTCCCAAAGCCATCTCCACCACCACTGTCTAAAATGACCCCCCCCCCCAAGCCATTTGGGATGGGCCACAACCACAGTCCCAGCTCCTGGGAGGCTGAGACAGAAGGTCAACCCGAACTCAGGAGTTCAACACCAGCCTGGACAACATAGTGAGAGTAGAGCTCATCTAAATAAATAAATACTGCCCTCCGGAACCTAATTTGACTTGCACACAGGTTATCTGTGTGAGTTTTGTTTTGTTTTGTTTTTTTGGTTTCTACCTTCCTGCAACCTCTGAACTGACTCCTCCTCAGAATGCCTGCTGTACCCAATTCTCCACGGATCTGGGGGTGGTCCTGTAAGAAAAGTTCTGGGTGATGGATGTGTGGACTTTGGGTTCTAAAGGAGGGTGGGATGGATGGTACCAACAGGATCTCTGCCCAGGTCTTCCAGACTTGTCCCCTCTGTGCCTCAAGCTGCTTTCCCCCTGCTACCCACAGGCTCGTCCACAGGGAACAGGGGCATTGGCTGCAATCTGGGCCTTGGCTGGCTGGCTGGCTGGCTAGCTGGCTGGCTGAGTCCTTCCCTGTCCCTCAGTTTCCCCCAAGGCTGCTCTACCTCATTCTTCAGCATCCCCAGAGCAAATGTGGCCCAGAACAACTGAGTTCAGCTGACACGGAGGCTTGGAGATACAGCCTCTCCCAGGCAACCTGGCTGACCCCAGGTCCCTTAAGGGAGCACGGTTCAACACAACTATTCCAGAGCCATGACGCACGTGGCCTTATCAGGACCCTATCAGATAGGGGCCAGGGTGGCAGGCAGGGCTGGCCTCTCCCACGCTCCTGGCCTCTCCCATGGACCCTGCCTGAGTCAAGCATGGGAAAATGTAACCCTCAGCCATTACTTGCTCAGTATGGTTCCTACAATAAAACTGTTGTTATTCCTCTCCTGGCTATGTGGTCTTATGGCAATGACTGCCTCTCTGGTCCTCGGTTTCTCCATTTGTAAAACAGAAACCAGTTGGCCCATACCAACTACTAAACATGATACCTGTCCATGGTGAGCCCTCAGTGACGACTGACAGAATTGGCCACCTTCTTAAGACTTGACTGTCAGGCTGACTCTAAGCACCCCACCTGCAGACAAGGGAACACCAGCTTGCTCTGAGAAGATCCCTTTTAAAGACAGGAGCTGACCAGGAGAGCAAGTCAGGCAGGGTGCTTGGCAGGGCACAGTGACACCTCTTCAGCCTTACTCTGGGTCGCTGTCCACCCCAGAGCTTACCCTTGGCCAGAAAACTGCAGGGAGAGGGGTGAGCCGAGATGCCAAGATGATGCAAGCCCCTTTCAGAAGAGGCAGGGAACCCTGGAACCCTGAAGCCCTGAAGCCCTGAAGCCCATGTCCTAGCCCAGCAGCAACATCTGCCACCGGCTCATAATTCTCTCCCAAGACTAATGGACCAGCTAGAGTTCAGTGAGGCAAGAACCTTGTTTCTGGGCCAGTCTCTTCAGCCAGCCAGCCAGCCAGGTCTCCACTCCCGCCCCGCTGTTCTGCAATCCCTAATGCTCACGGTCATCTTGAAGAGGGTAACTCAAAGCTGGGGCCATCACTCCCTGCTCTTACTTTAGGTGTGTATTTATTTGTGGTAGCTAATGAGGAAGATGGAGCACTAAAATTACTGTAAACAGCTTCTCTCTTGGCACAGCTGCAGTGTTGGGGGACAAGGAGGTTCCCCAAATCAAAGAGGGGTGAAGAATCTGCAGCTTGGATAGTTGGGACTTCAACCCAAGCAAAGAAGGTCTCCAGGTCCCATGCCTGCTCACCTCTCCACAGCTGACTCCCTAAGCCGCTGTCCTCCACCCTCCCAGCTGGACTCAGGATCAGACAAGCACCTCCCTCGAGCTCTACACTACCCAGATGGGACACCAAAGGCCGGCAAGAGGCAGGTTCAAGGTCACGCAGCACACCTCCTCCCAAGGATCCTGACACCTGTCTCAGGTGCTGACACCTCCAGAACTTCTGGCTTTGGACCAAGCAGGAAGGGGAACCCGCTCCCCCACCAACCCCATTCTGCTGACTCAGTCCCCGGAGAATCAAGAGCCAAGGACAGGGGCAGAGGAACCCAGCGTCCCCAGCCTCATCACATGTGACTGGCTCTTAGAGCAGCTGGGGATCTGGGACAGACCAGCCTAGGTTTACAGGTACAAGACTGGGGGACTCTGGTTCTGGTTAGAGGACCATCTGGTGAAGCTCTGCAAACCTAAGTACCGCTGAGGCAACCCAAAATCTTGGGGTCCGTCTGGACCACAGTCCTTGGGATCTCTACCCCTGGTCTCTGGATAGCCCCCTCGGTCTCCCAGAGAAGCCCTACCTCCAACACCTGCTGGAACTAAGGAAGGGATCACTCAGTCCCCCTCCCCGCCCCCGGCTTTAGGAGGACCAGATCCGGAGACCGCTTCTCTGGTCTGGAAGACTCAGGGACATCCTAGAACAAAGACACCCTCATTCCCGGGGGCGGGGGGGGGGGGGAGGTGGGCAGAAGGGCGCGGCACCTGCTAAGCCTGGGCGCCCCCTCCCACAGGACAGGAAGGGCGGATCCCCAACAGCGAGTCCCAAACAAGGCCCCCCACGACCCTTCTACGCACCCCAGTGGGCACCCGGGGACTCACACATCCTTGGCTGGCAGCGCCCGTCCCTCCACCACGCGGATACTCAGAGAGCCGCTCTTGGCCATGGCGCACAGTTGCAAACTTTCCAGGCAAGGAGTCTGCCGAGGTTCCTAGGCTGGACCAGGAGGTGACCCTACATGTCACCTGCTCCGGGTCCAGCGCTCTGTCCGGGGATTATCACGGGTCCGGGTTTGGGGTGCAAGTGGGCTGGACGCGAGGCTGGGAGGGAGAAGTGCTGGGTCCCGGGAGGGATCATGCGTCCAGAGCCACAGGTAGCTGTTCGCTGCGATCCGGGCAAGCTGAGCCTGGCGTCGGCAGCCCGGGAGGTCCCTCCCGATCCCGCCCCCCGCAGCTGCCCCGCCCGCCCTGAGCCCTACGCGAGCGCCCCCTGCTGGCACCCCAGCCCGCTGCACTCAGCCGGGGACCCCAGGAGCTGTGGGTCAGGGCGGGGTAAGGGGACGAGCAGTCGGGCAGGGCGGCGGGCTATTACTGAGCTGGCATTGGGCCCTCCAAGAACCCGCGTGCCTCATGCCTGCCCTCAACCCAGCACCTCCACGCCTTTCCCACCTCCGCCATCTGCCACCCAACACCAGCCTGGGGTCCCGGAACAGTACTCGCGCTGGGCGGCAGGCGGCGCACGCTCCCTGGGGGTCTGATGCGAGTGGAGGGAGGGGCCTCGAACATCCCCTTGCATCGTCTCTCCGTCTCCAATTAAACCCGGAGTGTGCCAGCGGAGGCTCCCACGTCACCGGCTGCCACTGCGGGGGAGGAAGCCGCGGCCGTAGGGGGAGGGGAGGCGCGGAGATAACACCGCCGGGGCGACACGATAAGAGCCATCTGCAATCCTCGAACACTTAATTGTGTGCCAGGCACGGCCTGAGCCTTTCACGGGGATAATCTCAGTTTCGAGCCCTCAGCAACTCTGTATGCCAGGCATGCCCTCCATCTATGGATTAAAAACAAAACAAAACTTGGGTTCTGAGAGGTGAGATCACTTGCCAAAAGTCTCCTTCCTGGGTTTGAATTCTGATTCTCTCTGCCGTTTGGTAGACAGGGTAGCTGTGTGGTCTTGGATGAGTCACTTTACCTCTCTGTGCCTTGGTTTGGTTCTCTCATCAGTTCAGTGAGGGTGACACGTGTCTCAGGCTTAGAGAGAATTAAACGAGATATTCCCATGTGGGCCTCAGAACAGTGGTAGGCACCTAATCAGCCACACGGAGTATTCAATACTATTATTGTTGTTCTGCAAGGTGCGTCTTAAATGTCACATCGCCTGGCAAGGCTTTCAGGACGCCTTTCCACCCCACGCACAGCTCTCCTTCCTTTTTGCTCTGTTCCCAAAATGCTTTGTGCGTTTTGGAGTTTTAAATGGGATCATGTGAACAGAAGGCTTGTCCCAGGGTAGACGCTGGCAAAGCTTCCTTCCTCTCCGAGTCTGTGGTATACCTAACTGGAGAGTGTTTAAAAAGGCTGACAAGGGCAACTTGGGGCCAGGCACCCATGGGAGTGCAGAATGAGGTCATCTGCCACTGCCCAGACTGGCAGGACTGGGAGTACCCGCCTGGCCCCAGAACCACAGGCCCAGCCCCTGGAGCAGGAGAAATCTAGTCTTCTGAGTCTCCTGCCTCCCCCACTTCCCAGCCAGATGGAAGTGCGTTGGAATTCTCCCCCCGGTGGGATTCTGGGAACACCAGAGCAGCCAGACCCTCAGAGGAATGCCAGGGGTGACCCGGGGTTGAATCCAGAACTGCAGCAGCCCTCCCACCCCACTGCCACCATCTGCAGAGATCACTCCTCATCTCCCTAGGGAGGAAGAGGAGTTGTCTTGTGGCTCCCTTGCACCCCTTACAGCCTGGGCAGACACCTCTGCCTGGATATTTTGCCCACTGGGGTTAGAGAGACCTCAGACAAGTCATCCAGGTCCTCGAGGACCCTGATGGAGTCCTGGGTCCCATGACAGACTGGCCAAACTGTCACACAGCTACCATTAAACCACACTCCAAAGTTAGACAGGAAGCCCCACAACCCAGGTCCCTGGGGTGGGGTGGGGGAGCTGTGAGGTCCAGCTAGGCCACCAAGGAGCCAGCTCTGTCACCCACCCTCAACTGACACCAGATCCTCTGGGGCAGGATCCAGACTCTCCAAATTTTCTACATGACCTTCCCCCAGCCACTTTCTGTTGTTTTGAGAAACTTCTGGCTAAAACCGGCAGAAGTCTGCAATCCTTTTCGGACAAGCCCTATCCAGGCACCAAAAGGGAAAAGACAACCAGAGATGGTATATGACTTGTTGCCAACCACCAGCCAGGACAGAGAGAAGAGGTCCTGGTAGCCAGCAGTTTCACATAAGACCCAGTCATGTGCTCTTTTTTACCTTACATGGGCAGTGTGAGGCCAGCTGTTCTAAGCACACAGTAGATGCCCATGAAATCTCCCCCAATCTCCTTAATGCCAATCATACAGTCCTTGTCATCTCTCTGCATCATCTAGCATCCGTGGCTGCAGGCAGCAGACAACAGATATTATAGAGAGATTTGGGTGAAGCCTGGGCAGGGTGAGCCCTGCACAGGAGGCTGAGGCAGGATTGTGAAGTCTAGGCTAGCCTGGGTTACAAAGGCAGACCCCATCTAACAAATAAATTAGGGTGTGGGGCCCAGTTGGAAGCTTGCTTGTCCTAGCATGTGCATAGGCCAGGGTTTTGTCCCCAGCATCGTGGTGGCATGCAGCTATAAAACCAGCACTTGGAGGATGGAGACAGCAGCATTTGAAGCTAAAGTCCATCTTTGGCTACTTGGTAAGTTCACAGCCAGCCTGGGCTACGCCTCTAAATAAATAAAGCCTTAGGTGGGGAAGGTTCTGGCTGAAGGTCTAGGGAAGGGGTCTTCTTAGTGAATCCCAGCCCTGAGTGCTCTCAGATAGGTGAGTCACCCTCTCAATGCCTCCGTTTCTTCCTGAGTGAGTTGAAGCTGTTACGAGCACCCATTTCATGGCTGAGGATATGGAGGAAATGTCAGAGACTTCAGCACGCCTGGTATACAGCAAGTGCCCACTAAGTGTCATGTAGAATCCTAGCTCACTCCGGAGCCTGGAAACTCCACTTGGCTCAGCACTGAGGCCGGGTCCTGAGGATGTGACCAGGTGAGGTGCCGGCCCAGCCTAGAATCCCAGGGATGGAGGGAGTGCCGCATTCCAGCTTAGCCAAGGAAGGTCTCGTTCTGGGTTGCAGAGCTGGGGGAATCTGGGGTTTGTTTTTCATTCTTTCAATCCAGGCAGAGAGATGCCAAGATCAGAGTTCTCCCCACTGTAGGCTCACTGCCCAGACCTGGCTGATAACCCTCACACCTCACCCTCGTGTGTGACACGATCCACCTTTCCCGGGGCCCAGGCGAGCTCACAGACTCTCACCAGAGCACCACTACTGTAAAGCCACTATGGGGTCTGGGTAGGCAGGGCTGTCCCACAGAGGGCTTCCCTGAACATGAGATCTGACTGAATCACCTTTGGAGCCCTGCACTGAGGAACCTCAGCTTCTGAACCACAAACCATGAAGAGGAAACTTACTCTATGGAAACTGGCAACTGATACAATGGGCCTGGGTTTGGTTTTGAGACAGAGTCTCACTATGCAGCCAGGGATGGTCTTGAACTCACAATCCTCTCTCCTCAACCGCCCCAGTGATATCCCAGTGTTGAAATTCTGGCTCTTTACCATGTTAAGTCCCTTCAGCAACCCATCACTGGGGTTGGGGCTCCCGAATTTACCTCTAAGATTTTCCCCAAGTTGAGTATAGGAGTATATGTCTATAAACCCAGCATATAGGAGGTGGGGGCTGCAGTTCGAGGGCAAAGTCAGCTATGCAACCACTTCTAGGCCCTGCCTGGGCTACAGACAGCCTTGTGAGCAAAACAAAACAAACATTCAAGGCTTCCCCCTGTCCCCAATCCCAACTCTGCCTTTTGCCACCAATTCCTGCCCATCCAGGGGGAGCCTTTCTAGACACCCCCTTCAGCTACTTACAGTACAATTGAGTAAAGCCTGTGAAGGGGGCGGCGGAGGGATAAAAACAGCTCAGCTACCAAACCGATGGAACAATATACAGCTATTAAAAAGGAGTCTTGGGGGCTGGAAAGATGGCTCAGAGGTTAAGAACACTCTCTGTTCCTCCAAAGGTCCTGAGTTTAATTCCCAGCAACCACATGGTGGCTCATAACCATTTACAGTAAGATCTGGTATGCAGGCAGAATGTTGTAAAAATAATAAATAAATAAATAATCTTTAAATTAAAAAAAAGGAGTCTCGGGGCTGGGAGCTGGTTCAGCAGGCACAGTGCATACCATGCAAGCATGAATTCGGACCCCCAGTGCCAATGTAAAAAGCCAGCTGTTACAGCTTGCCTGTAACCCCGGTGCTGGGAGGAGATGTAGGGGTTGGGGGAGACAGGTGGATCCTGCCGACTCACTGGCGAGCCAGTCTAACTGACTCAGAGAGCGCTGGGCTCAGCGAGAAAGCCTATCTCAGAAAGAAAGAAAGAAGAGGGAGAAAGAAACAAGCAGACCTGATGTTTGCGAGCACATTTGAAGAGGTCTGTATCAATATTAATTAGCAGGCCAACTGGGGCTACCTCTCAAGAACCTGTTAACAGAAAAAGAAAAAAATCAGAAGTGACTTCCTACTTCCTTCAGTTTTTAAAAGAACATTTCTCCTCTCCCACTCTTGGCATTTGGCACCCAAAATCTGGGAAGGCCAGGCAGGGAGATGGGAAGGCAGGGGGAGCTGTGGTGTCCTCCCTCCACGGCCCACCGGCCGCCCTCATGACCTTGGTTTCCTGATGGCTTGTTTTGCGGTGATTTACCCATCAGTCTTATCACCTAAATGTCAGGGACAATGTCTGTTTCATGGTGCCTCCCACACTCTTGGCACATAGACTCAAAACACACTCTGGGTAGGAGAAGTCACTAGGAGCCAGAGCCTAGTGTTCCAATGACCCTGTTCCAGCAATTGTTACTTCTCTGTCCCCAAGGTGCTTAGGTGAGTATCCTGACCTTCAGCCACTTAGTCTTTGCCCTGTCCACGTCCCTCTCCACCCAGGGCCAGATGTGCTCCTGGCAGGGATCAGTCTTTTCTCCTAGAAAAGCAGAACCATCTGAGGGCACGGCTGGGACAGAGCTGACAGGTCTCGGGCACAGGTGGAGGGGGTGAGAGAGTTCTTTGTCTCTAGACACAAAGCCAGGTTTGTGGTGGTTAGATGCAATTCTGGGCAAGATGCCATGGTGGACAGTCAGCCACGGTGGAAGG